TGACAGTAGGTTGGGTAATTAATGAAAATTAAAATTAACTGAAGTACTTAAATATTCGCGTACGATTTTAATGTAACATTAGCTTCCCTGCTGTCATAATAAATAAATTAAAAATTCTGTAAGTAGATGTTTTGCCCTACTGCTGTAAAATGTAGAGAATCAAAAATGAAATTTCATTGTATTAACATCGATTCACGCGCAAATTTACATTTCATATATTGTCAAAATGTAGTTTACTTTATAATACTTGAAACAATCATTTCTAAGTGCTTTCTGTAACAATCAAGATTACTGTTTTTATCACGATTCCTTTCGTTCATAGAGCAAATGCCTTACGTTGTTTTGGATAGTAAATGTAAATATACTAATTTGAATAGTAAATGCTTTTCCTATCTATTGAATTGTTTTTTGTGTACAACTAACGAATAATTGAATAATAAAAGAAACTCAACCTGGCTCACGAGTCGTTGTCGGGGGCGAGGGAAGTATCGTTGGTTTGGCGAGAGCCGCTAGAGCGCGTGTGAAGCGGTTGGGCGGATCTGGCGCTTCGCAAAAAGGCGAAACAAAAGGCGCTCTCTTGGCGCGCCGCTCATTAAAGCGCCATTACCATAGGCATGCACCCGCCCGGCCCTCCCCCGCTGCGCGTTCCTCCCGCGTTCTCCACCCGCGCCCACACTCGCCCTGCCCGCCCGCGTCCGCCCCGCCCCGCCACCGCGCCGCGCACCCCTCCACCCGCACACCGCCCCGCCCGCCCAACGGCCCCGCCCCCGACCCCCCCACGCCCCCGCCACCGCCCCGCCCCCCCCCGCCCGGCCCCCCCCCCCGCCCCGCCCCGTCCCCCCCGCCCCGTCCACCCCGCCCGTCCCGTCCGTCCTCATTATCTTAATGTCTCAACTGTATCTTATAGTTCTTAATTTATTTTAATGAATATTTCCAGTGGAGAGGGAGACAACCTGTCACTCTCTCAACTTCTCTGCAGCGTTGCTACTCTTGAGTCTTCATTTTTACCTTTCTTCCTCATTACTCTTTATGCACCGCGTATTCTGTCTCTACATGAAAAGCACTTTTAACTTTTGAACGTAACACAAGCACATTGAAATTCGTGCTGAAGTATCTTGACATGATGCCTGCCTTAGTGTGGCTGCTGTGTGTGTCTCGTGTGGTGGCTTAAAACACACATAACAGAGAGTGATATCAACGTTTTGCTCATTTGTCCATGTTTGTCTGATAGAAACGTCTTTAATTTTCTTTTCAAACCATATACTATGTAAATTAATAGATATACCTATTCCAGTGATGAAAGTACGAAGAAAAGATATGGGCTCGATTGCAGTTTATTATCCAAATTACATTCTTCATACGCGATTACAATCTACAGAAGAGATGTGTCGTTCGTTAACCACTATTCAAAGGCACCACTGATCCTTCTTTATTGCGTGGTTTGGAGCCACGTGCGGTGGCGTCTGTGTGCGGTCGTCGATGTGCCGCGAAATTGTCCTATGCCGGGATGAGACTCTCGTTCAGCCTAGTCGTGAACGAATGAACTTACCCGCTCGTTCTGACAGCTAGTTACTTTGCATCGAAAAAGAAACTAAAATAGGCAAGACTAATAAAGATTACTGGATTACATGCCATGTACCGTTCGTACAAAGTAACGATTCCTACAAAGTACACGATTGGGCTCTACGAGCACAGTAGACGCTTCCTACGCAGTACACGCATTGCTACAAAGCCGCAGATAACGATTGCTACAAGATTAACGCGCATTGCTACAAGCCCAGTAACCGCATTGTTACAACCAGTAACGAATTGCTAGCAAGTAACATGCCTGACAAAGTTAACCAATTGCTACAACAGTAGTACGATTGCTACAAGAGTAACGATTCTAACAAAAGTGAAGAACGATTGCTAACAATGAACGATTGCTTTACAAGAGTGGAGGCCGTGAACGATATAATGCCTTACCAAAAAGTAACGTTATTCCGCTACAAGAAGTACAAATTCGCTCACAAAGCATGTAACGATTGCTTAACAAAGTAAACGGAATTGCTACCAAAGTTAACGATGCCTACCACAAACAGTAAACGACTTGCTACCCAAAGTTAACGATTTGCTACAAAGTCAGAAACATTGCTTAACCAGCGAAAAAAAAAAAAATAGGTTAACCGATTCTTGCTTTACCAAAGTAAATAAAACGATGTTATTGGCTTGTTTACCAAAAGTTAAAACGGGGATTGCCTTTTACCAAAAAGAGAAAAAAGTAAACGGGGAAGTTTGCCCCCAAATTTGATGACTTTATATAGGTTCAAGGAAAGTAAAACACCTTTTTGACGAGCAACTACAATCTTCTTCACCACAGCATTTCGAGTAAACAGTCTTTCTACATCTCTTCCC